GGAGGATAATGTCAGGCGGGATCTATGGGAGATAGGAGTTGAAGGAGACTGGATTTTGTTGGCCCAGGACAGGGTCCGGTGGAGGGCTTTGGTTAATTCGGTGATGAACCTTCGGGTTCGGTAAGCCATCTAGTTAGTTAGTTAATGGCTCTGTTTGTAATATTGAAATGGTGATGTTCAGCGCTAGTGTAACTAGTTCAGGATGTAAATTCAATTAAGTTTTTATTCAGAGTGATATTAAGAGTATGCGGTATATATAAACATGACATTTGTATAACTTATGATTTCTCCACAGGTGTTTTGGTTTACACATATATCTTGAGCCTAGAGAAAGTTAAATGTCGCAGTGTATCAGAATCGAATGTGATTGCTTCCTCATGTTTTGGTGGCCTGTTTGCTTCTGTGCTGGGAGGTGAAACAAAGCAAGGAAAACCAGCATCATGGGATGCTCTCCTATGCAGCTTGCTGAAATTAGTCAACAAATTGATCCAAACACCTCTGGTCTCTCATACACATGTAAGTTGCAATGATTATTTATATGAGAATGTTACAATTATTCTCATTTGTGTTAATGTTTACTATGTGTTACAAATACCATAACTGATTATAAGAATTAGATTAAAGTTATTGTAAACTCCAATGACAGATTTTTTAATATTTGACTGAATTAACCTCTGACATGCTTTTGTCAAGGAAGTAGTTTTTACTGTTTGGAAAATGCTGAGAATCTTCCTGTTCCAAGTTCACTGTCTGAGTTTTCAAAGCTGTAAGCTAGTCATGATCCATTAACCAACAATAGGTTTAGTGTTACTGTTGATTTTATTTAGTGTACACAGAGGTGTGCCATGGTGGTCTAGCGGTTAGAACGCTGGGCTTGTAATCCTGGGGTCTCGGGTTCGATTCCCGGCGGTGGCCGAATTTATAACTTGTGGTGGGCAAGGCCGTGGTCTAGGCAGCCCGGAGTTTTCCTCCGTGGCATCCCAACAATTATTCCATTCACACACAGAAGAAGGCAATGGCAAACCACTTCTGGATCATCTGCCAAGAACGTATATGAACAGGTCCCAGTCCGAGAAGAGAAAAGGATGGAAGGATCCTGTTCATATGGACCTGTCGTCAGACAGAACACTACAAATAAAATATAAATAAACACAGAGGAGTCAAAAAATAGAACTACGTAATTTCTTATGTTTTAATGGCATTAATTAATCTCAGCGTAATGTCGTTGTTTAAATGCGGCATTGTTGATATTGGATAATACAGCCAGTGGATTCATCGTAGCCCCATATTTTCCAAAACCAAACTGACTGATGAAAGTTACTTTTAGATGGATATATTGTTTATTTATAAACTATAAATGGTAACACTTTTTATCAAGATGTATCAAGGTACTGGTATTGCATTAAGATACAAAACTAAAACCTTATATTTATGCTCCTAGAATGTACATTTTTCCATGATTTTTCAGTCCCATTAATTTTCCATCAAATACATGTCATTTCATTTGGAAATCACAGGTTTTATACATGTTTTGTTGTGAACTGGTCAGCTTTTGTTTTCAACTAACGTGTACTCCGACAATTCAGTTACCATTTTCCATGGGTCTTTCTAGCTTTCAAGCTGAGTATGCTGCATTCTATGCAGTTGTTTTATTTGAATTGATGTCTTTGATAAAGCATGTTTACAATACAAAATAAATTAAAAACTATTTCCTTAAAACAAAAACTCAACATATTAGTAACAGGATGTTTTCACATTCATGGGGACTTGTCTTTCCTTTGTGAAACAATTTGGATTATCATTATTAGCTCTGAATAAAATAGTCAAAAAAACACCATAACATTGAAGAGAATACTAATTTTAGTAGGATGTGAGGTTATGACAGTGGTGAGTACGAAGATGGCCGTCTTCTGTATGTTATAGTTCATGGGGATTATAAATTGTATTAATAATGTTCATACAGACCTTAATAATTTACCTAGATTATTTCAGATGAAGGTAATTATTATTATGTTATATCTTGCAATTACACTGTTTTTCGTTAATACCCGCAAAAGAGTGAATGAGGGGTTTGCTATAATTTCCTCTGGGAGCGGTGTACTGTTTTCCATCTCAAATTATTCTCCTTATAAGTCCCATAAATCTGTAGAGCTCATTATATGCATTTGGTTTGTAGGCAGTTAGGCAGGCAGAGAGTATGGAGGTATTGGATTGTCAGTCAGGTCACCTAGCAGCAGGAAATTCCCAGTTGGATAACAATGATATGTGTCAGACGGACGAGCATAAGGCTGCTGAACAACAGAACTCTGTTGATGTACGTCAACCGCAGGGTGTAAGGCAGGAGGTAAAGGTGCCTTGTGTTGCAGATACAGGTAAGTCATTTATGAGTGAGGTGTTCCCATATTCCCACAACTTCAATTCTGCTTCATTATGCCTTTAAATAATTTAGCAGATACCATTTTATTTATGGGTTTTCCCCCCTTTAAGGATCAGTTCTTATATCAGTTCAGCTCCCTGAATTTTAAATTTCTTCCATCTCAAAAAGTTCAGAATTAAAGTGATTTCACTACATTGCATTCATGTGTTATACAAATGAATGTATAAGATGAGGATAAATACTTGATGTAAACCTCATATTTTATATTTGTAAGTGCTGTTGTAACTTTTCTACAGATTTACACTAATGTAAATTAATTTGAGTGCATCAGATAATACACTAAACTTTTGGGTTGAAATTCTACAAACTGTAGATAAGTGTTTATCTCAAAGTATGTCATGAAGGAAACTGTTACATTACAAATGCTGGATTGTAACATGCACCCGAAGTTCTATTCCTGGACAGTGCATGTGAATTTTGTATTGGAAAATATGTTACTGAACACACTTTCCTCCATGCACATCTATTTTCATTCCATGCACTTATGTATCTTCACCCTTGAGATGCATAACATGCGTGAATAATTTTTATTTTTAGTTGGCACTCATATGACCCAACAGGAAATTTAAAGATCTGTCAGAGAGGTTAGCTGAAATGTTAATGTGTCTCAAGTAACTAAAGTAATGTTATAAAAGAAATTAACATTTCACTTCTTGAGAAGACTACATTTTTTATATGTGATATTACAGGTAAGCTGAAGTAAACAACAATTAGGAGCATGTATGTAGTTAAAAATGTAAGCCAAACTGAATCTTGAATGAAGTTATGTAATTCTGTAGTGTTGCAGCATCATCCAACTATGCTGAGACTGTTGAGCGCTCTGGCAGGCTGCAGTGGTTCTACCTTAGCAATGCTTCTTGGATCTGCTGCACCCCCTGAACAATTGGCACTGGGTGAATTTGGAGAGCCATTGTCCGTAGGGGATGCTGTATTCCAGCTGTTGGCCATGTTGGCTCGGAAGGCTACTTCACCACAGTTGATCCTCAGGCCCTTGTTTGATTTTCTGTCTTCTGGTAAGTTGTTTTCAAGGTCTGATGAAAATGTTTTTGTGATATAAGCAAAAAACATGTGTTTTATGATTTAAAAAAATCTGTTTAGATGTGGTTTGCAGCAGTTTTCAGGCTTTACATAGATATTTCCATCTTGCCACGCACAATGTTTAGTGGTTTGATTCCTGTGTCAAGTGGGTTCCGTGCATTCTTACACGAGGTTAAATTAGCTAGAGAGTGAAGCTGAACTCTAACTCCCATCCCATGCAAAGGTTTAAAATTTGTGGAACTGTCTGCCCATTCCATATATACTTTTTTGGTGTCTACTCTATAAAGTAGTTAGTTATTTCTGTCTAAGATAGTCCTCTAAAATCAGAGAGTTAAGTACTGAAAAAAAGGAATTGCATTTAATTTAAAGAACAATCAAGATAATGCGTATTTGTCTTAGTAATGAATATATTGTTTGTGCCTCTGTTTTTCTGTGCATCACTTTAAAATTGAGATTGCCTGCTTTAATTTTACCTCAGTTTTTGTACATGGTATATATATATATATAGGTGTACTGTATGGTGGACAGTTACTAAGAAAAACTGTTACTTTTAACTTAACTATTCTGCTTTGGACATGTCAATCTTCTTAGTTTTTTAGACAACTGTTTCAGAGACTGGATCTGTCTCCATCATCAGATTCTTTTTTTCTTTCTTTCTTTTTCTATGGCTCTCCGGTCCGTATTCGGTCCATGGCCTCCTCAATTCTCCTCTTCCATTCGGTCCTCTGTTAGGTCTGTCTGTCCGAGGCTTTGATTGAGGTTTCGAGACATCTTCCTTTTTACGGTGCAAGGTTGTTAGCCTTGCAACCAACCCCCAACCTGGAGGACCAGGGTACCTGTCGTAGTCTGACCTCTCCCCCTTGACCAATCTGGCTAGGGACGCCCTACCAGTAGCTATGCTACCGCCAGCATAGCTCTTGGGGTCACTGAGGTACTCAAGCCCCACGACCACGGCAAGGTGTAGGTACCAATAAGTGAGGCCATCATCAGATTAAAGTAAGAAGAAAAAGGGTGCTTATTGTGTCTAAGGGACATACCAGAATGAGCACCAGTTTTGTCATTACCTTAATCTGATGATGGGGACAGATCTAGTCTCTGATGCAGTGTGGTTTTTAACATAAAACTGAGGCAACAGACAAGGTCCAAAGTAATACTTGAGTTGATTGCAACACATCATTATCAGGATCTTTTAGACTTAAACTGATACTTGTTTCAGCATGCAATGCGCAGCCTCCTGTGGGTGCAGTTGGTGTAATGCAGCTCTCAGAACCTCTTCTGTGGTTTATTTTACGAGTAATAGATAAGGAGAGTGCCCTGGAAGAATTCAACAGAATGGGGGGTGTCAGGGTATGTATAAATCACGTTATTGTACATAACTTGAAAACACTTTTTTGTGAAGAAATGGTCTTACAAATGCAGCTGCAGGAAATGTGAAATCATTTCTGCTGGTACATACTGATCCTAAGTGTTTCATGATTCCAGTCTTTTGAACGTCATCTTTTTCACCTGTCTTCCCCGTTTTATTCCTTGCTTGAAACGTGTGAAATGCGTAATGTAAACGTCATCTGTCTATATGTTTCATCCGTGAATCTACAGAACAAGGTTTCTTGAAATTTAATATTGGAGAATCTGTACTATTGTTGTTGGACAAATTACATTTTGATTTTAATGTGTCTTATATAACTCCTGAGGAAGCCACGGTGGTCTAGCGGTTAGAACGCTGGCCTTGTAATCCTGGGGTCTCGGGTTCGATTCCCGGCGGTGCCCGAATTTATAACTTGTGTTGGGCAAGGCCGTGGTCTAGGCAACACGGAGTTTTCCTCCGTGGCATCCCATCAATTACTCCATTCACACACAGAAGAAGGCAATGGCAAACCACTTCTGGATCATCTGCCAAGAACGTATATGAACAGGTCCCAGTCTGAGAAAAGGATGGAAGGATCCTGTTCATATGGACCTGTCGTCAGACAGAACACTAAATAATAATAATAATAATATAACTCCTGCATCACATGAATCTCAAATAGTATTATGTATATTCATAACAGTAGTGTTCATTTCAGTTTTATGTTATATCTTCTCCTTTGTATTTGTTAACTGAAGAACATTGATAGGGGTATCAGAGCTAAGTAACTACACTAACTCCATGGAGTAGCATTGGTCTCAAGAAATTGATAGTACACTCGGTGTCTTATGGAATTGAAGGGATCATTACCGTGTTCATAAGAGCCGCAGAAGTAGTTGGTCTCATTTTAAAATTATACTTTTTGCTAATGGTGATTATTTTTATTTCTTCACTAGTAAAATAGAGTGTTTTTTAATGGAATGTTGGTAGAATTTATTAAAAGTTTATTGTCTGTTGATACCTCCTACTTGCAGTATACATGAATAAATAAATATATGTTTTGTTTTCCCAAAGGTGATCTGTGAGAATCTGGTAAAGAGTAACCAGGCCCTGATAAACGCACATCCAAGCTTGGTGTCTGTAGTAATGCAACATTTTAGCCATGCTCCCCCTAGCAGTTCCCTCAACAACAAAAAACTGCCAAGTCCAATTGAGATGTATGAGGGACTCCTAAATTTTGCTCCTTTAGGTGAGTTGCACTGATCTTCAATCACAGTTATTCCATTTCAGACCGTATTATTTCATTTCTTAACATTAGAACTAGCTTTTGTCTGTTCGGATTTTATGACAGTAGGTGTTACGCGGATAAAGTGACCATTGCTTCAGCCTAGATGTACTCTTCTGTTTTGCCCTGTTAACAGATTTCTGGGTGCAACTTGAATAATTTATTGCATTAGTTTATTGAGCACCATATCATGAAGGCATGTAGTGAAATGGAGGTATATGGATTCTTAACCTTGGCACTAGTTGATGGTGAGTGGCATGCTCTGTGTTGTAGCCACTGTCTGGAGAAACAATCTACGGAATCCAGTGAATTGTTGGGCTGATTGGGCACTAGAACTGATCTGAATCTGGTGATAAAGAGAATAATACCTGCCTTATTTAAGAAATTAACAACGATTGTCCAGCCTGTAAGCAGTTACTGTACGTTGTTATAAAATCCTCTCAGGCAATCAGCCGTGCCAGTGTTGAGTTAAAAAAAATATTTTGGAGACTAACTCTGTCTCGTAAGACTTGAGGTTCTCACAGCGCAATAACCCAGAAGACAGAAATCTTAACTCTGTCTCCATTATCAGACCTGATCTCCAAAATGTTGGTTTTAACTCGACATTGACATGACTTGATTGCCGAAGAGGATTTCATAACATTCAGTTGATGTGAAAGTTACAGATCTTACATCGATGCTGTACTGATTGTGCAGTTTTGGTTTAGTTTTGTTGCATTACTTATAAAGAACAAAATTTATTCCTCTGGATATTTTTGATTCATGTTCAGTGACTAATAGGAAACTGTATACAAAAATCAGTTTTGACACACACACACAGAAATCTTTAATCACATGTTATATAAATTCAGATTATAATTTCTGTTGTGTAGCGTTTGTTTGTTTGTTGTTGTTGTTTTTTCCTCCTCCATACAGTAATATGTGGATTAGAGGGAGTAGATTATTTCACCTGCAGTGAAAACAGGAAAGGAAGTGATGTGCACAAAACTTACACACATGTGCGCGTGCACACACACAGTCATACTAAAAATGATACAACACATAATTTTCTCTGAATTTGTAATAACTAGCCTGTCCATTATATGCTGGTAGCACGTAGCGGTCACACCATTAAACTGACCACTCATCTCTGTCTGGTGCTGAGGTTAGGAATGTGTCTGGAGCCATACCTTTATATTTGATGTATTTTAATTAATCATGAGGACAACTTTACTAAGGTTACTACAGCCATGAATGGAATCTGGAAGATTTTTGTTGACTGTCGTGGAATTATGTAATACTGCTTCAAAAATAATTTCTAATTGGAAATATCGCTTGTTTAGGTACCATAAGTTCAAGCAATCCTACAGCTCAACCAGCCGATGTTTTAATACAGTCTGTGCCCCCTCATCGAAGAGCACGAACTCCAGCCTGGTCCTATCATTTCTATCCAGATGAAACTTGGGTAGACCTCACTCTGACTCTTCCATGTGCCGTGTTGTTGAAGGAGGTGCAGTTACAGCCGCACCTCACTTCATTGGCGAGTAAGTACCTTTTATGGGTTGTTAAGGTGCAGAAGCATTCTGATAGGTCATAACTTCTTTTGAATTTAGTTACATTAAACGACATTTCTCTTTATTCTGCATGCAACTCTGCAGGTTTTGTAGTAGATGCAATTTATGTACCTCCAAAAATATAAATTGAGTTCAGGAAAGTTTTAAAATTGAGGGGAATGATTTGAAGTGAAAATGTAAGTTCGTGTGTTGGTCTTTGTGGTGGAGGTATGAAAATGAGAAATGAAAGTTTTCACGCTAAACCCTTCAGCGGAGAATGAACGCAGTTACTGAATATTCAGTCTGGTGATTGTAATAACCAGGAATAGATGATCCTCATAAACACAACTGATTTGAATTACAGTTTCTTCTGTTTAGAGGTGGTAGATAGAATAAGAACATTATTAATAGGTCCTGGTAAATTTGATTCAAAGCTGTACCAACAATCAGACTTCTGTGAGTCAGGTTAAATAAGAATGTGTTTAGTGTTCAAATATTCTGCAAACTATAAGGTGGCGACTGACTTGTAACATTTGCCTGTAATGTAACGTGTTACAAATCGAGCATTACACAAGTGAAGACAGCGAGCGGAGCCGCTCGATGCGAGCTGCTCACGCTCGCGGGCGCTCCATCGTGTTGTCGGTTTTTTCGCGAATCCCTTTGAGTGTTACATTACAAGTCAGTCAGTCAGTCAGTCGAGCGGCGTCGTAACGAGCATTCACGAGTTCTTTAGATAAGAGTAGCGTATTAAATGGAACAAAGATAACACAACCTCCACGTCCGACATATTGAATGAAATGAATGGAGCACACATGAGCACAGTCGAGCTGAGCGTTCAAAACGAGCATTCGATACGCCTCACCGGTTGTGGTGTAATGTAACATGCTCGCCGCGAATGTTACATTACAAGTAAATGTTACAAGTCAGTCGCCACCTTTACATGTAGTCTGTGCGATTTTAGGTTCTCATGGTGGCAAGTGTGTAGATGTTTGCCTTCTGGGTTGTAGTGTGGTAGAAGTTTACCAACTGGCCCAATGATGGGAACAGCAAGAACATTTGAAACATCAGTAAACTTCTACCAGGCTACACAGCACAGCTGAGAAGACGGCCATCTTCTACACATCCAGTCACGGAGCAGTAGCTGTTACCACATAATTTCTAAGCCCTTTGGCAGCCTAATGCCCAGAATTTGTTCACCCCTGTTTGTTGATCATAATATCTCGTTTCAGTCTTATGGACCCTAAAAATTAAGGTGGCTGTAGCTTCACATAGGGTGATTATAACTCTTTGAGTATTTGTCACCCATTGTGACTTTAAAGAAATTACTTAGTTTGGAAGTGCCCTAGATGTTGTGAGTACATCTTCCATGTATTTGTTGCAAATCTTTCCAGCTTGTCCATCAGCTGTAGCTGTGGAAGTGTCTCGGGATAGCAGCTCAGGTCTCGTCCCAGTTTGTCCGCCACTGTCAACAAGTGGACTCACCTTTGTTCGCCTCAGTCTGCCTCAGCCTGAGATAGTCACTAGCGTTCTTGTGAGATTGTATAAACCACGTGACTCGTCTAATATTGGATTATCTCAGATTCGACTTCTCGGTTCTACTACCTTTGGTGAAACAGTTTTTAGGACTGCTAATATGGATGTCCCAGATGAAGAACAACTCACAAAATCAAGGTATTGCGATTATACACATTCAGTTTTTTGATTGTCAGGCAAAGTGCTGCTTTGAAAATTCTCAATTGAAACAAAAGGTTCTAAATCTCAGTTAATTTCTTATGAAATTAATAAAAAAGTAGAATAAATTGTAGAATTGTTTCTGCTTCTTATTATGACTTTGCAGGCATTGAATTCAGTTTACACATTCATGAATTTTTATTACGTGAATGATTACTAGGGATAAGCAAACTGCGAGTTTTCAAGTTGAGTCAAGTCATTTTGCTTCTTACAACACAATGTTATATAACTCTATTTATGTGCTATTATTTCCATTGCTTTCCTGAAAGAATGTCTTTTTAAAATAAACATTAGAACTCATTATGGGGGTTAGGTTATGCGTGTAATAAAATATTACTAAGCTTACCAATCCGTGAATCACATACCCAATATTATATTTTTTTAAAAAAAAACATTTCTTCTCTCACATACATGTTTAAAATTTGGAAACATTGGCAAAAGTGTGAAAATCTCACTCAAAAATTACTTTTCTAAATTATGACAGCCAGTTGACATTTTTATTACAAACTCTAATAGATGGTAGCACTATAGAGAATGCATTTTTTAGCCCAGGCAGTAAAGTTGAATGATGTGCATTAAATGGAGATAATACTTTGATGTGGACTGATGTTGAATTTCACTCAATGTATAGTAATAATACACTTTTGACTACATTTGCATGCCATACGAATAGGATTTTTTTTTTTTTTTTGAAATAGAATTAGTCGCAACCACTTTCGCCTGAAAAAACCAAAAGAGTGATTTATCCACTATGAAACTAGAATGTATGAGCCTAAATGGAAGAATGATTGTTTCATTTTCATCAAAGCAAATTAAATGTTTGCAGTTTGGGCTGGTTAAGGTTGCTACACCACTGCCTTAGTTTGCCCAGTCAGGAGTCTGAGTTAGCAACCGCAGTAATCACGTCAACAGCGAGTGTTTCTGGTCTTCTGGAAGCATGTTGTGGTCTGTTGTTGATTCCTGCACCTTCACCTTCACTCTTTACCCCCAACTTGGAGCGAGTTCTGCTTAAACTTGGCCTACATAATCGTGAACTGGGACTGAAGCAGATAAATACTCTTCTTAGAAATGGAGCGGCAGCTTTTCTTCAAGGTATGTGCATCTCTTTAAATCCTGTAGATTCTGTTACATATGGGACAGTCTTTCAGGTTGTGGCTGTTGTGATGCCATTTAGTCTAAGAGGTGGTTCACCGACAAGAGTACGCAGTAACATGAATCAGAAGACCGTGATCGTCTTCTCTCATGTTAGCAGATTGTCTCTCTTGCGGCATTGCAGTTTTTCAGCCAGTCATAATATGGAACACTAAACTTCATTTTTGTGTGTGGTTTGTAATGAAGACTTGCTTGAAAACAGCATATTAACTAAAACATGCAATGTACGACATGTCTGAGTTTGGTGCAGTTTGTGTCAAGTCATTTTACTTATTTATGTTGCATCCAAGGACATCCCAGGATTATCTTTTGGTCTGGAAATATATATTGTAGGAAATTTCATTTTTTGTGTATGAATTTACATTTGCATAACAAAGCAAGAAATTTGTAAATATATGAGAAATGTGCAACATTTGAATATTTTGATGAATAAATTATTTTTATTTCTAATTTTAGAAAAATAATTTTCGATTACAGATTGTCTTGGATATATATGTGTATTTTGTTTCCGTCTAATGAAGGCCCTCACAGAGAGGATTAGCCGTTTGGAAATTTCTGTGGGTTTTCTGTGTTGTTTAGAAAAGAAGAGAATTTTTTGTGTTAGTATTATTTAAGTAATCTTCATATTTGTAAGGAGGATGAGTGAAGTCTCATGTGTGATTCCACAGGATCATTGCCTGTTGGTCAGTCCAGTTCATCAACATCTGCTGTTGTAGATTCAGTAGTGGAGCTCTTGTACCAGTTATGCACCACACAGGATGAGGCCACGAAAGACAGAGTGAACACTTTGCTCTCCTGGTTGCATGAAACTGCAGGTGCAGCTGTGCAGGTATGTTCAGCTCTGACAGCACTTGCTTAAACATTGACATAATGTTTGATTTTAATTCTTATAATATTTGAAGTTTGTCGGTATATACATACTATCCCACACAGAATAACATCCCAGAAGAACAACTTTCTTATCTTATAATATTGTTTGTGCAATTTATTGTTTAGTTGCATGCCATTGTCTTTACCCTCTTCCTGATTCCCAACATTGTTTACTATTCTCCCTTTTAACGCATTTCACAAAGAACTGAAATATATGGTTTCGTAGTCGCTTTTTGTAGACTTTGTTAATTGTTACACAATATTTATGCTTACAATTAAATTTTTTCTTTGTCATAATTGTGTATACAGTGAAACCTCCATCCAGCGAGCCCGAAGCTGTGCCGAGTTTTGCCGAAGCATTGGCAAAAGTGAAGTCGTTCTTTTATGCGCATAATATTAGTGAACGTGACGAGGAAAACATTTTGAACGTGGAAAGGGCTCTGTTTGGCCTAAAACGTAAAGTTTCGACAAACCAGTTGTCCATTAAAGACTTTTTTTTGGTAAAAAGAAGTAACTTTGAAAGAGAAACATTCAGTTGTTTTAAAAAATTTTAAAGCTTTCCCGCAACTATCGTTTTTCCGTATTCATCGTTTTTATTTCCCACCCCCGCCAAAAACGATGCATCGAGGTTTCACTGTATATGATTTAGCAAACAGGTGTATGATTTGGCTTACTGTCTCCAGATCATAGTACATTTTTAAAGTGTTTTCTTTTCCCCCTTCAGATATCCTTGATATAATACTATCCTTTCTGTAGTATGTTGACCTACAGGAGGAATAAACAACAGGAGGAATAATAGTATTAGTAGTGATGATAGCGATAGTGATAATAGTGGTAGAAATAGTAAAAATTTACAATACAACAGAAAGGAACAAATTAATTAAGCTTAATATTAGATTTTATAATATACAGCCAGAATAATATTTGTGTTTCAGTTTCTTTATGTCACGTCCTTCTTTATAAAATATTTTACAACTAAATAAGTTTTGTTAAGTTAGAACTTTTTGCCAGTGGGCTTTATTTCTGTTATTGTAAATATATGAGACCTTAAGTCTCTGACTTATAAATTTGTTCATAAGCTTGACTACATAAAAGCGTGTTAGTAATATATGAAGTACATGAGAGATGTGCATAGTTACATATCAGTATCTTTTTGCGTGGTTTTCATTTTCATGTTGTTACTACTGTGTTTTTATTTTAATGTGCAGAATAAGCAGTACATGCATGCTGGAAGTGCTGAAATATGGTCACCGTCATCAGCATACGTACATAGTGCTGCAGCTATCTTGTGGGCAGGGCACGAGTCTGGAGTCAATTATGATCTACCAGGAATGGTTACAACAGATTTGTTCAGGTAAGTAACCACAGTATGAGCAGGCATAGCTCAGTCAGTTTAGTGACTGGCTGCGGACTGGACGACCGGGGTTCGATCCCCGATGGGGCAGAGGATTTTTCCTCTAGCCTGTGCATCCAGACCAGATCTGGGGCTCACCCAGCCTCCTATTCTAGTTGCCACTTCCCTTACCATTCTTAACTTTGCCGCTATGGACTGCCTTTCTCCTTTCACCACTCATCACGGACTTTTTCAGCATGTTATTGTTCACAGGGTCCATCTTTGGACCTGTGCCTTTTATGGGATCTCCCAGTCACCATCCCATTCTCCATATCTCTATTCCTTTATTCTCCTCTTTCCATTGGCGTTATACGAGGCTCGTCCACAAAGTAAGTTTCCCTGGGGCCGTTTACAGAAACAAAACACAATTTCATGGAAATATTTATTGCAACAGATACAGCAAGTGTCCAGCTATTTTTCAACATATTCGCCACCGGAATTGAGACATTTGTCATACCGTGGGACCAACTTTTTAATACCTGTGTCGTAGAAGTCTGCCGCCTGGGATTGGAACCACTGTGTGACAGCCATCTCCGCCTCTCTGTCATTCTCAAAACGCTGACGCTGACGCTGACCGGACAGGAATTTCTTGAGGTGTAGGAAAAGATGGAAATCACTGGGAGCGAGGTCCGGGCTGTAGGGTGGATGATTAAACACCTCCCAGCTGAACTCCTGCAGGAGACTTGCTGTCTGTCGAGCCGTGTGCGGCCTAGCGTTATCACTGACCGCACTTCACAGTCGGCGGGAGCTGGAATAAGAACCTCCATCTTCAACAGCTGCAACGATGCTACTGTGAGAACGCGGGAAGTACCGTTAGTGCATGCGCCATGCTACGTCATTGCTCTATCACGTACGCACAGTTGCTTCGCTCAATATAAGGTTTGCTAGCTGTGGGACGAGTGGGAAACTTACTTTTGGGACGCGCCTCGTACATATACGTCACACTCCTGTCCTTACATCAGCTTGAAAGTCAGAGGTGCTACATTTCTCTTAGAACTTCTGTAACCACCTACTAGACTAGAAAACATCATATCCCACACAAGACCACAACTGGTGCATATAATATTGATGCCCATTGTTTTTAGATGTGTGGATAATTCAGAAAATTTTGTAAACATGTTTGTGAAAGGTAATTTTGTTCTTTTCCAGTATTCTGTACAAATGGACATTAATTTTGCCAGCACATTCAGCATTAAAGAAAGCCATCGACACATTATTGTGTTCTATGTGTTACATTAAACCGGCTCTTTTTCCAACTCTGCTTCAGCGTATGGGTGTGTTGGTACCCAACTTGGCAACACACCACAGTGCTTCCATCTCTGATGACAGGTAACTTGAAGTTGCTGTTGGCGAACTATCGTAGTACTCATATTGTTTGCCTGGTTTATAATTTACTGTTTGTTTTATGTATAGGAAGGACCATGAATTGGATGAATTGTATGCTTCAATCTCGGATGACTCAAAAGAGTTGGTTATAGGGAATGAACAAAGTTGTGATATTGGAGAATGGTATAATCATCTGATGATCCAGGACCTTCATAGAATGAGGCTGAGTGAATGTCAGTTGATGACCGTAGCAATGGCGTGTCAGTCACCACCAGCTATTCACCAGTTGTTGGATTCAGGCTTACCAACTCTGTTGATACATGGTGTCCTAGGTTAGTATTGCGCTTTGAATGCCATACAAGTAGTAATCGTGTTCGAAGAGTAGTCTTGTTAATATCAGTATATTAATGTCTTTTATGGTTTGTGTGACGTAGGTATGGCTATTTGTAATCCTTTGCTGTAGTAGTGATGTGCGTGCTGTAAAAATAGTCTGACAGGGAACAATTATAGGTAGGAAATTCAGTAATTCTTTTGTCATTTTTGTATGCTCATCTGTCATTTCTGTTTCTCCTGTTAAAGTTCAACCTCTTCGGACATGTTATAACTTAACAGTGACATTAAATGGATTGAAAACTTTTTGCACAAATTGTAAATATGGTACAGACAAATTTCCTCTTTTATGTTTTGCCATTGATATCGTAAAATGATGGAAGATGAAAAATTAAACATTAAATGCTGATAACATGCTGTACTTCTCATGATGAAAGTACATTAATTTTGTACGTAACAGTATTTATATGGAATTTTATGTCCTTGTTATATTTACAATTTTGTTACAAGATTTTTATATATATCATTGTTTTCATCAGATATGTTAAAACAGGGTCTTTGCATCATTTAATCTTTAAGGATATTGCTGTCATAAATATTGGTTTGTTTTTATTTTTTCTCCCTTAATTCGTAAAATCTGTTTTCTGTCTTACTGCACATACCAGTTATATACTCTTGTCAGTCTTCTACTTTGTTAGATAATTTCTTGCTTGAAGAGTATTGAGGATGGTAGTGGCTTTCGGTTATCTTCTTCTTTCTTTACCTGTCATAGCTGTAACTGCTGTTTCTGTAATATTTAGTCTGCTGCTTAGACTGCACATGACTCTGTAACATTGTCACATGCCATAATCTATAAACTTAGCATGAGGTTGCTGCTATTACCAATCATCTTTTATCTCGCCCAGCATTGTGTCATCAATGGGAACATCAAGACTCAAACATGATATTCCAGGCTTTGAATGTGAAGGATATTCTATCTTGTATGATTTGAGGTTATCACAGCGGTGAGTTTGAAGATGGTAAACATCTACCATACTACATGGCGCAACAACCCAGAAGACAGAAATTTTCATATTCTATCTTAATTGATTAACATATTGAAGCAGTTGTGCAATCAGTCATTGCTGCTGCCGTATTTGCTAGCCGCTTTCATTATTGTTACTTGTCAGAATCGATATATTCGTCTGGATGTTCAAGGTGACAGTTTGCTGGAAAGAGCACCGCAGCCTTTGCACTTTTTTAGGCAAGATGTCCGTCCTCAGTGTTCAGAACATTGATCTATGTAATGTCATTTAGCTTATGAAGATGTCAGCAGTGATCACTGAAGGCTTTGTTGTTTAGCAGATGTTTTGTTGTATTTGTTATGCCATCTTTGGACTCAACAGGGATTGTGGTATTTCCCCATGACAAGGAGTGGTAATTGCTCTGATCATCAGCATTTCTTGCTAGGAAAACTATAATTCTGTCCTTTGATTTTCTGCTATCATGCCAAGATTCCTCTCTCATAGTGAGTATTGTGTTGGGAGATGGATTACCAAGAGCCCTGTTCTATCTGTTTTCTATACATCTTGTTGTTTATATCTGTGATTTTTCCATACTTCTATGTCACTAGCTTTACACTGTTTTTGCCGCCTGATACTGCCTTGTATGTGATGTTTTGCTGTGTTTTGAACTTTATATATGTAGCTGTTAGAAGTGGTAAATTTATCCACTCTCACTCTGCTAGATATACATAATGAGCACAAAGTCACTACATGATGAGCATAACTTGCTCAGATACTATCTGGTGACATAGTGGCATATGTTGGTAACACTGTATAACTTGATGGATGAAAGTGATCAATGTACCATACACATTACAGCAAAAAAAAAGTAATGAGACTGAAATAAAATAAATGTCGCAACATGTTTATTACTCGTTTCCGTCAAAATAGTCCCCTACGGACTGAATGCACTTATAGCATTCATATACTCTTCGGAGAGACTTGGCAAACTCGGCTGCTGTGATGGTATACAGTTTTGCTGTCACATTTGTCTGAATGTCATCAATTATATCACATCGTCAACCTTCAGTCTCAGTCTCAGCATGGGAAACAAGGTTTAGCCAGGTTGTGAGAATATGGAGGGTGATTGAGCACCTGCAATACCCTGTTTATTTGCCAGAAATGTCCTTACATTGATCGCTGTGTGAGCAGGCATATTGCAATATAAAAGCTGCAAACACGAATGTTCCATGTCTGTGATAATTTGGACCATATCAGTTCCTTATTCACATTTAGGTCACTTGCCATGATTCCGAGTATCAGTTGGCAATCTCACTCGAGTAAATTGCTCACTTTGTCAACTAATTTGGGGTTGGAGGTCATTTTCAGTTGTCCACTGCGAGGTTTGTGTTCTATATCCTGTCTGCCCTCTTGAAAATGCTTAAACCATCAAAATGTTCATGCTCAGGGCAGAGATTTGTTCGCATAAGCCATTCATAACATTTCATATGTTTCAATGTTCCTTTTCCTCAGCTTTACACAAAACTTGATGTTGACATGTTCCATTGTTTGGTTTCTGATAAGGCATTAATACGCAAATGCACGAGGCATGTCCATACGAAATAACAGTGTAATTCCAATTGGTTATGGTAGCAGCACTGCCAGGGTCACTCTTCAGTGTGTCTGTAGCTGCCTCTCACGGAACAATACTCTTACTGCATATTTTTGTTTTATTTCAGTCTGATTACTTTTTTTTGCTGTACTGTGAGTGTAGTAAATAAGCAGACCTGTCTTAGTTACAAGTGATCTGCTGGAATGTACATTCTCAGAATCGTAGATACAAATCAGTGGTGCTTTGAGGAGTGTTTTGTTAGTGTTCAGGCCCATGAGATAACACACAACAGGCAGAGAATACAGCAAGTAATAGTGTTGTCCCAGCAAAAGCCACCTCCTCTCACACAAACAAACAAAACAAAACAAAAAAATACCTCTTACCTTGGGCAAAAGCATTGCCTCACAAATTGACTTGAAAGCAATTGTTAGAACTTGGAAAACCGCGTTGACAACATAATTAATTTTCTTTATTTTTCTACCAGAATTTTGCAGCTGGATGCAATGCTTTGGAAAGAATAACCACAGATATGATGACAAGGAACAGAATTTATCTTCAGGAAAGCGACAAGTGAACCAGTCGCGAATGACAGATGCAGATAAGGCAAGTGGAAAGGAGGGAAGAAATCATCTGCTTACAAACTCTCAAGGTCAGTAGTGTGTTCTTTTGAAACTGATCATATCTGTATTACATCACGTGAATCAGTACACCAAACTACATTTTGATGTCATTTAACAGTTTTATGGAAATTAATGATAGTATTGGAAGTTGAACTTAATAAAATTTATGTTTAAAATCATTCTTTAGGACTATGTTCATTGTCTGAATTATAAATTTATAAAAGTCTAGAATTTCAAAAGCTGTTTTCTGAAGCTAGCTCATATGAGGGTCCCAATGGGTTAATGTTCTGTCCTCTTCCCCCATCTTTGACTCCTGATTAACATAGGGTCCAGCTTTTGAAATGTTGGAATTTTGTGATTTTATAATTTAAATGATGTACAAAGTCCAAACGAACAATTTTTCTAGAGTATATTCAAGCTTAGCACTGATTTCATCCAATTTATCTTCAGTCAACACCTAGCGTTTATTTATATATTTTTTCCAGTGTCTATTATATCTGTCTTAATTTGTTTGCAACCCTGTGTTGATTTATTCTGTGTGGAACTGTAATATTCTGAAATGGATATCACAATCATCATCTTGTCCTACAGAACCATTTCTCACATAGGTATCATACATGAAGACTTCCAGTTTGTGTTTATGTATGTTTAACAGTCAATAAAGGCGAGTAATTTCTAATACTGGAAGTTATTTTAGTCTTGTTACTAAAATACTGGAATGCCATCATGATATGCCTTTTTCTGTCAGTAACATAACAACCAGTTCATCTCACATGCCAGTGGTTTGTTATCATTGGCGTATATTGTATTATAAAATGGAATATGTCAAGCTCTCTGGCATAATACTGATACCATTATCTACTAAATGTTGTGGCTTAGTGGTTAGTACTCCTGCTTCGTGTTTAGGAGCTCCAGGTTTAAATCTTGGCCTGAAGAACGGTTATCCTAGTTGAGGATTTTTGTGCTTTTTCGCTGTCCCTCCAGGCATATGTTGGGCTGCTCAGAAGTGACTGGGACTCATATGGAATACAGGCTAAAAGTTGATGGCTGCACAATCACATTTCACATACTCCCCATTGAGGTCAATGTATCATTGCTATCTTTCTTGTAACTTCCTGACGGATACAGCACCCATTCTTTTGGAGAGTACTGACTTATGGACTCTGCTTTGCGATTCAGCCGTGTCATTTGATGGTTGGTACGGAGTCTGGCATTGTCATGCAACAACAGAATTTTCTATTCCCATTCTTTACTGTATTTTCTGATGAAGATATGTGAGCCACTGCACAGCCGCCAATTCTCGAACGATGACAGCTTGCAGACTAGTATCAGTGAGTGAGTGAGTCAGTGTGTGTTATCTCAAAAAACTGGTTTGCTGCATCCATCAAAGGTTGCCAGAAAGAAAGCTGTGGTGCTTTGATTTCAGTGGGGAGTATGTGGAAAAGACTGAAGTGTGGTTATGTGGTTGATATATTCTTGGCCTATATTCCAGGCAAGTCCCAGTCATTCCTGAACAACCCTTGTACCTTGAATGAAGCCACAACTACTTATTTCCATATTCTTTTTAGTTTATTGTTTATTAATGATCCTATCATCCAATGTGCTATGGTCTGTTCTGTTGACAGGGTTGTTAAATGAATCACACCATTACTTATAAACATGTCATATATGGGCTCGGAGCTGGTTTGATGTTCATGAGAATTGTGAAGGAATTTTTGTAAAAAGGTCAAAATATTCTAGAAAAGTTACCTAAAATGTTTATTTCATTAACATCTGCAGACTTGGTCTAAAATAATCTCAGGTGGGATCTGTGGGAGATAGGAGTTGAAGGAGACTGGATTTTGCTGGCCCAGTACAGGGTCCGGTGGAGGGCTTTGATTAATTCGGTGATGAACCTTTGGGTTCGGTAAACCATCTTGTTCAGAGGTTCCCAAACTTTTATACCTTGCACCCCCCTTCCAGAACAAGTGCAAGAAAACAGATTTGACATAAAATTTAGCTATGAGTATATAGCACTGTAAGACAACTAAACTGCCTCAACCAAGTAAAGGATGTTAAAAATGTTTCTCCATATTTCGTTAAAAAAAAGATTTCCTCCCCAGAAAACCACTCGCCCCCTCAGGGGAGAGGGGCCACACTTTGGGAACCTCGGATCTAGTTAGTTAATTAATTTTTTTTACTAGTGATTAATTTTATAGCGATGTTTGATCTCATTATTTTTCTGTTCTGAACTGTTGCAGTTTTGTTGAATATATGTGGAATAAAATTGTTTGTGTTACTGATATAAAGTTCAGGTTTCTTATTCCTTTAATTTCATAATTCTATTAAATTATGTATAAAATTAATATTTTTTTTACATGTAATTGAAATGTATTTCCGATTGCTTTAATTTTATGTAAGTCCTGCATGTGACTTGCAGTCTTTAAGATTGAATCTTGCAGCATAATCAGTGCTTTTTATTATTATTATTCCAGGTTTGCCGATGCTGAGAGTTGACACGATGGCCATGGTTCTCAACTTCTTTGCAGAAGTGTGTGCTGAAGGTCACATGAGAGACTGGTTGGGCTCTGCTGAAGGTTCTGTATTCTGGCTGCCACTTCTGAGTCTCTTGTGCAACAAATCTAACTCTGCTGACAGTGGGGATTTTGAAGGACAGAGCAGGTAAATAATAATTTTTGTGTGTATATTTATAAATCAGTTTGTGTAAATTTGATGACATATTCTACAATTCTCCAGTATATATAAGTGTTTAGTCCATTTTATGAGCTTTAATGAAAATTAGAAACATGTTAACTTTTGATGCTTGTCTTCTGGGTTGTAACCCCTTTTGGACTTACAGGTAGATACCATTGCTTCAGAGAAACATACTACCTAAATTTTTAGAGCTGATTGGTGGCAGTATGTTCCTCCAAAATTTTGATATCATTTAATGTAGTAAAGTAAAGTTTGTCCCACTACACGCCATGTAGGCGTTTGGGGTGAGAGGAGGTATAGCTCCTCTCTTCCTTGACCTCGGCACTAGATGGGGGTGAGTGGTCAGCATCACGCCCCGGCCGGCTTTACCCCCGGGAAAGGACCCCGGTACTCATTGTAGAGGAGGCTGGGTGGGCCCCAGAGCCGGTCTGGACGCAGAGGCTAGAAGAAAAATCCTCTGCCCCCGTCGGGGATCGAACCCCGGCTGTCCAGCCCGTAGCTAGTCGCTATACTGACTGAGCTATCCCGGCTCATCATTTAATGTAGTACATGTGTATTTAAAGGGCTTTTTATGTATTATGGTGTGCAGAATGTGCTAGCTGCACAATTATGCGGATTGTAACAAAACAGTTTAGTCTAATAATTTCAAGGTAAGATACCAAATTTGATGTAGGATTTGAGGTTTTCATGGTCGTGAGTCTGAATATGGCTGTCTTCTGGGTTGTAGCATCATTTAGTCTGGTAGAAGTTTATTGACATTTTAGAGGTTCTTGCTGCCTCCATCATCAAATACCTCTGAAACGTCAGTAAACTTTTACCAGACTAGAACACAACCCAGAAAACAGCCATCTTCATGTAATTTGATCTTGCCATCACTTCATTGTGGCTAGAAAATTGCTCGACACTTTGAAACCAAGGCATGTCTAAATAACATTTAAAGATTCAGTGCTCATCACAAAGGAAACACAATGCATCTCCATTGCAAAGATCAATTGGTTAATGCTGTTTCTGGAAAGAATCACTGTTTACACTGAGGTTCATACAAAAACCCACAAATGCAAAATGAAAAGTTACTGATTGTTGAAGCAGATGGCGCATATAATTACTATTCGTAATTACTGATATAAAGTTGAATAGGTTATCTGTTCCTTCATACTCTCTGAACCTTTCACAGTTTTATACAGGCACTTAGTGGAGAAAATGGTGATAAAATGAGCTAATCGATATACTTGTATGCATCTCTTGGTTGATCTTAGGGGTGACCTCACAAGTGAATCATTTTCTGCCTTGGAATCTGCTACGGTCAAGTTCCTGTCTCGATGCTGTTGGTGCCATCCATCGAATCAGCAGTTACTTTCCAGGGTTCTTTGTGATGTAATCAGCCAGCAGAAGACTGTGCATCAAAGTAAGAACCTTTTAAACTGATTTCCATAGGAAGAAGAAAAGCAGTTGTATTATGTACAGTGCTAAGGTAGTTCCTTATATTTTTCTTCAACATCATCCATATTCTGTGTGATTCAACATTTACTTCTGTCATACCATGTCTCATTTAGTGATGCACACTATCTGTAATTCATACACAATGAACAGCTTTATGTATTTGAATGAAGCTTGTGTAAGTTTTGTAGAACATAACCTAAGTATGTGTACAAAAATATATCTGTTCAGTTTAGTTGATTCCTTTCACAAATTTCCCCCCCCCCCCATTTTGAATGTTAAATATATGTATTAATTCAACAGTACAGTCAAATATTTTGTTGGAATCATCGTCAGATAATGCTACAATTGACAAGACAGAAAGTCCCGCGCAGTCTGAGGCATCACGCTTCGGACCGGTGATACGAAATGCGCTCTGGTTCGAATCTCGGGGGAGAAGAAATTTTCTCATGAGCTTTCGACCGGTGTATGGGACCGGTGCCAACCCAGCATCGTGAGGAAATTGGGGAGCTACAATGAGTAGCGTAATCCGGTCAGGAAAGCTAGCAATGGCTGGGGGTTCGTTGTGCTGACCACACATCACCCTATATCTGGTTGGATGATCGTTCACCTCTGCTTAGGCATGTGAACGTGAGGCCAGCAGTCAAGCTAGTCGGCTTTGGCTCTCTGGAGCTGTTACGCCACGGATTTAATTTTTAATTAATTGAATTGAAAGACAGATGGTGCCAATTTCTGAAAGTCATTTGCCTAGTGGTGTTGTAGCCTTACACACTGGTTAATATGAATGTAAAGATGATTATTCTTAACTGTTTTCTTTAGAAAACACTATTTTTTGCTTCACGTGGAGAATTGATATTGTCTTGTTTATCTGCTTAAATTAGACTGGTGTATGGTAATTCTTACCATACTTTACTGTACTGCTTGTCATTTTCTAATTTCAGATGTCACATTTCTGCATGGAATTTCTGGCTTTACACGTCGCTTGGTGCTACAACTCCTTCTGGAGAATGAAAAGCTTTTCGTGTTTGTGAAAGCCAACTTCCCTCTTCAGCGCAGCAGTCTTGCTGTGACAATGAGTGCTCCATACCAACCTCGTTATGGTGTTGGCCACCAGCATCAACTTCTGTATCTAAGCACACAGGCAACCTGTGCTGACATACTAAAACATGTGTCAGGTTAGTAAAATCTGAACCCACGGCCTACACCAGGACTTGAATCCAAGGTGTCATATCACAGCAACCAAGTTTTATTTATAGTGTCTTATGTCTTCCAGAATATTGTTTTAGTTTTTATGTGATCATTTATGAACATTTTTTTAAATTTGTAAAGTGTCTTGTGAATTCAGATTTGCATGATAAAGGGTAGTTGTTAATCTGTATCCCAATAGATACTTGCTGTAAATGCACTTATCTTAATCTTGTTTTTCCTGAGCATTGAAATACGAACATTATTAACAAAAATAACTATAAATGTGTGATTATTCACTTGCGCAAGTTTGTTGCAATTTTAAGTGATATTTAAGCGAGTAAGAGATACACTAGCAGATTTTTTTCTGTGTTTTTGCCCGTGCATACGCATGAATTTGCATTTACTTTGCATCTTCACATGAGTTTGTGCTTGTGAAGGTTTGGTTTTAATTTGTATTTATTTTCTACTCTCCTCTTCAGCATCAGGAAATTTGCTTCCTTTGTTGGGAGACACGAAGGTCAGTGAAAACAACGTGGCAAGTCTTAGTGGCAGCAAGGAATCACGGAAGGAGTTATGGGAGATCGGACTAGGACTTGTCGATCAGTTGTCTGTGGCAGCAGGAGTAACAGCCAAGGACAAACGAGTCAAGGATGCAAAGAATGCTGCAGCTGCTGGCAGTCGATCACCTTTTGCTAAGAAGTCTCGTTCAAGTGGATTCACAGGTATAAAACATGTATGATGTTTCCATCCTCAGGTTAATGTAATGGGTAGCAGTTTTCTGGACTTAGCCTGATAGGCTGTTTCATATAAACGTGTGGTTTCAATGGGGAACAATGAAGGTATTGTGTAAAAGTCTCATGAAAATACCAATATTTTGTGGTATATGCAAGTATACCGTTGTCTCTTTGACAGAGTGGGCTGCAGTGGTTGTCTGATGAATTCCTGTTCATGTCTGTTTACCTTAAATAGCATTGCAAATTTGTATATAGATATTTAGAACTCCAAAGATCACTTTAGCATTTCTTATAACAGCAGACATAAACTTACTTCTATTGTATCCAACAAAAATTTGTAGCCGTCACTGGTAGCTGCAACAGCGTAGGGTGTAATGTTTAGGCATATCTGTTTTCTTTCTTTACAGATTCAACATCACCTACAGCATCATTTATGTCAGGATTGTCAGTTCCGCAGCAAACATTGCAGCACTCTATGTGCCCTGGTGTGTCATTGCCTGGTCAGATGACACTGTCTCAGCTTCTTGCATTAGCGCAAGAGCAGGGAGAATCCCTCAGCACTCCCTGTATTGCCCTTACACTTACACAGCATGCCAAAACTACATCGAATAAAGAAACCAAAGGTATGTGAACATTTTATGAAAGTTCAGTTAAAAAACATTTGCTGCATTAAATTCCCGAACACGGCTTAACATGTTGGCATCAACCATTGTCACAGCTGCTTGAAGTCTTACCGTGGATCTTCGATAATCCTGGAAGGGACTGTGTAAACATCCTCCCTCAGGTGACCATGCAGGATAATATTTTCCAAATTGTGAGGTGCAAAGCTCAACATTCAATTCTCCATGTTGAGAATTTTGCCTTGGGCTTGCACATATGCATTTAAAATCAGAAGTCTATTCAAAGTAAAACCACATTGACAGAATAGGCCAAAAAATTTGTTCATCGAATCTGCTGGTGATTGTGTCATCACAGCTTCTATTCTTAAGTTTCATTGCCCAATCTTTATTAATTAGTACAAATTCTCCCATGGTCTTATCATCTGTGCATTTAAATAACTTAAGACCTGGTAATCTATGTGAATAAAGAAAAGTAGCTCTTCTCAGTGATGATCATGATAATGTTCTTATTTCACACAAGTGATGAAATTACGATTTTTTTAAGGATCTTTATCAACATTTTTAATAAATGAACTGTAGAAACAGATGTCGATTACAGAAAATATGTATTATCTTATAGGTGCTACTTCGAAAGATGAATGTGACGAGTTGCTGTCTTACCCCGGCCTACCCACGCCTCTGCAGGTGTTCACTCAGCAGGGGGGTTTGGCGCTGTTAGCACAACACCTACCATTGGTGTACCCTGAAACGCTCCGTTACTCTACTCCAGACAAAGTTTTAACTCCAGATGCACTTGATGCTGAGTGGGTCAAAGTTGATGCCAGTGATGACATCTATGAGGTTAATGTAAGTTTTATTATATACTTGGTTTCTAAGATTAAATGGAATTTATAACTAACCGTAATATATCAGTTACAAAATATGCTGCTTGAGGTTTTCCCCATTTTCATAGATCTCCTCTGTCCTACTGCAACTCCATAAATTAATTTATTCTGATATCAGTTAAGCTGTCTTCGTGGTTTAGTGCCATGCATCAACAAAATATGTAGCTTGCCGAAATGTTGGTTAATACCAAATATCTGATGCGACTCTCGCCCTGCCACAAAGACCTATGAACAAGAATATATAGCTTGTATTGTTTCTTCCTCTATTTCCCTGTTCTATTAAATTACTATGCATATTTCTACTGAACATGTTGTCTCAAGCCTTCTGAATTGTATTCAGATGGTGTCAAGTTTTAAATCCAGCTGGAACACGATTGAATTTTTTGTGGTTTTTCAAAGTTCCTCCGTTTTAAAAATGGGATGGTACAGGCCTTGGCCACTTCCTCCCCATTGCTTTAAATTCACTGAATGTAATTGTCATCTCATATTATTTGACACTAAGTAATTGGTACAGTTTTTTGCTGTAACGTGCTTCATCCATCTTACTTCAGCTATACAGTTCATAAATTTAAGTATGGTCATCCTCCTGACTTTTTAACTACAGTAAACTCCCAGTTTTGAATTTGCTGATCTCTTCATTAGGAGAACTTTGCAAATCATTTTCTTCTGGATCTGGAAGAAAATTCTTTCATGATCAAACCACCATTACTGGATTCATGGAAGACCACACCCAAAATATGCCATAATTGTTTTCCATAATGCTATTATATTGTTACTTCATCATCAAGAGCTCTGGGGTCAGCATGGTAGCATCATTTCATGGACACAATCACT